CATATACATATATATGTACATATACATATACATATATACATATATATGTACATATACATATATACATATACACATATATACATACATATACATATATACATATACACATATATACATTTTAAATATACATTTTACTAAAATAACACAACATACCTTAAATTATGAAACGTTATTTAGATTGAATGGTACAACTTGATGAATCACTAGTTACTGAGAACAAAATAAACATTTTTGTCAGAAAATAAGAAATTAAGCTAGTCTGACTCTGCCTCTTCCCTCCGTAAGCCCCGCCCCTCTCACCTGGGCTCATCACTGAGCGTGAGCGGCGTCTTCCGGGGCAGAGCGTCGTGCGCTGACATCACGTCATCCTTAAAAACATTCATCACAACATCAAACTCTGAAGGATTGTTTAATAAATATGTACATTTCCTTCTTTACATTTGTACCTGTTTAGGTTTCTGAAAAACTACAGGTGTTTTTACACCTGAACACATCACAGTTAAACTGAACTGACTTGTTTTTTTTTATATTTCAGAATCTATTCTGTTTTATTCCCTTAAAATATACAAAATATTACAAAAATATTCTGTATAGAAAAAGTGTTAAAAGGTCACCATCTGCATGAAGGGTTTTGATTGGTCGTGGTGGTACTGGCTCTTGTCCAATAGGAGCATCCAGTGGGCGGAGCTTTGCAGCACCTTGTGCAGGTTCAAGATCGAGTGGAACAATCTGTAAAATAAAATGTAGTTCTTTGAGTTTCTGTTCATTTTTAATTATAAACGTTTTGATTTTCAGAAATTTTACTTAATTCATTTTTTTGTTTTTAATTTATTTGATTGACTTCATTGAAAATGCAAACGTCAGATTACATTGATTGATTAATAAAGTCTTTAGTGTTTACACTGTAACACATTATTTTACACACAAACCTCTGAGAAACTACACTGGGAGACACAACGTTAATGTGTTAACTTGTGATGAAATGAGTGTTAGATGCTAATGCTAAATGAATGGGTATGATGGGAAGCTAACGCTAACAGCTAACACTAAGCCAGGCGGTACCTGTTACCGTTGCCAATGGCGACACCATCCTCCGACTGAGAGCATGGAGGGACAAATGAGACAAAACACATGCTAACGCTCAAGATGCTAAAGAGTGTCAGGTGCTACAAATGCTAACACTGATTTATATGTGTGAATTAATTTAGTATTTATAATCTATGTGGGAACAAATCATCATTAAATCTAAACATATAAACAAATCAAATTTAGGAGAAACGCTTAAAAAGTAACAACTTATTTTAAACAAACACTATTTCTTTATGCTATCACATGCTAGTTTGTACGTGCTAACTTAACATGCTGACACAGTCAAACATTTAGTTTTTACCTGTTTAGATAGAATAACCTAAATAAGTGTCAAATTGTTCTTGCTTTATAATCCTAGCTAAGATGCTAACAAGCTAATACAAAGTTTGAACCTAACCTGTTATGCTGATGTAGCCCCTTGTTTAAGCTAACATGCTAACATATTGACTGATACATGCTAACAGGCTAGGTTGCTGACAGGAAGTAGTCACCTGGTGCCGTAGTCGACCACCACAGGGTCGCGGGCGGTGCCGGTGACGGCGTCGTGGTGCTGGAACAGCGCTAAGCTCCGCCTCCCCGCCGTCAGACGCTTGAAGTGTTCACGTGCTGGGAAATCTGAGACCAGACGACCATCGCCACGAAAACGACGCATTTCAGCCAACGTCAAGCTGAAGAGGATTTCTGTCGCTCTGTCAGAGAAGAAGAAAGTCTGTCAGTGAAGAATAACAGGAAAACAAGGTGAAAACATTTTGAGGGAATAAAAAGGTCCGAACAGATTTTAAAAGTAAACAATTCTAAGTATAAAAAATTAAGTCACAAAATGTTATTAAATACACCTAAATAAAGGCAAACATACATTTTGAATAAAGAGAATAATTACAAAGAATTATGTATAAATACAAAAGCAAAGTAAAAAATATAAAAATCGTAGTACGAAAACAAAATATAAAGACAGATACAACGTAACTGAGTCATTAGTTAAAAAACAAACCTGAGTCATAGATTAATTAACGTACCTGGATCACAGGTGAGACGGCGTACCTGAGCGTGGCCTCCAGCGTTCTGTCGAGGCGTTTGTAAAACGGTCTGGAGGTGAAGTATCCGCTCCAGTAATGGTCGTCTCGGTCGGCGTACGTGAAGAAGTCGCCGCGAAGTGTCGGCAGAGTCGTTCCTGCTGCGTTTAGACGCCGATGAAGAGCCTCGAAGTAATCTGAGAGAGTTCCGAACCGAGCCTGAAAACAGACGAGAGAAGAAGAAACATTGGGATATTTAAAGAGACAGTTTGTTTCCTCCCCTCATGGCCCGCCCCCCCCCTTCCCAGGGGCCTCAGGTGTCTCACCTTGACGTGGAGCTCCGGGTGCTGGTCGAAGTAGTCGAAGAGCTTCTGGTAGTTACCGAACTGAGCGTCCCACTCGCTCGACTCCACGAACCGAAAGTCGTCGCCGAGCGGAACGAAAAGGACGGGAGAGCGAAAGAGACGAGACTTCTGGCGGTACTGGTCCAGCAGTAGGAGAGCTCTGAGGACGAGACGCCGTCAACATGACAATAGAGAATAAAGCCGTGTTCACACCAAACGCGGCGCGAATTATTCGCGCAAGTAGATTACAAACAAAGTCTATGCACAGACGTGATGAGACGGGAGTGACGCGTGTTTGCATTGGTGCGATTGACGCGAATGGTGCAAATTTGCATCAATTGCGTGAATTACGCTGCGGCATGGCGCTGTGGCGCGTAGCCAATCAGCATTGAGATGCTCCTCCTGTCATCACTGATGTCCTGCCGTTGTTTAATCAGGAAAATAATACTGTATCCGTACAATACACAGTGTTCACCCAGAGCTCTATAAACTATGTGTATAAATGTATGTGTATAAACCATACGGTACAAACAATGAAAAAGACACTGCCGTATTTACGTTTATATGACGTTATGTTGAGTGTTGATGGAGCTTAGCTTAGCATAGCACCGGTCGATCCAAACTCCATTCAGAAGTATTTTAAAAGTTATTTGCTTGTTGTCTTGAGAGAACTAACAAAACATGAATTCAGACTTTTTACAAATCAGCAACATTATGTCGATATTTCATAGAGCTGTAGTAAACCAGCAGTGAATACATCTCCATGAAATCCACGGAGCTCCTCCAGATGATGTTATGAACCAGACAAGATGGCGTTTCTTCCACGGTTGATGGTGGAAATAAATGGCTTAAATTGATGTCTTCCATGGAGATAAGCCACTCCCCCTCTCCGGTGCGTCGAGCGCGAATGAAGTGAATAACCACAAAAGGTCCCCCGCGAGTAACGCGAATGATGCGATTGGTGTGAACGCACCATGAGTCAGAATTCAAAAATAAAAAGTCACGAAATCAAAGAAAGTATCTCAAATATAAAGAAAGAAGAAAAGTCAGGAGACTCAAAGTTACAGAACTCCATTCAAAAAATCTACCATTTTAAGGAATCCATATTATTATATTTTAAATTATTGATTGTTATTGTCCTGCTCACCGCTCCTCGACGTTCTGCTCTGTGATTCGCTGCGGCGATATCTTCCACGGACAGAAGAGCCGCCCCCCCGGCAGCCGGTGGAAATCAAACTGACAACAAACCGCCGGGTTTGGACCGCACGTGTGCGGCACGTCGTAGCTGTAGAACGGCATCATGTGACACGCGATGTCACTGCGGGGGGAGGAGTCTGACACAAAGGAAGTGGGCGGAGTTAGACAAACAAAAGCAGAGATTTACATATTTTACACAGAATGTAAATTTAATATCATAGAAATAAGATAAATAATCCTAAAAGGTGTTTTCCTCTCAATTTTCTCCCAAAGTCAGATTAATAAAATTGTCAATAAAACCTTTTTTTTAACTAATAATTTAAATAATTTGGTTAAAGTTTTTTTTATATTAATTTATTAAATTTCTTTTTCAAATTACAAATGCTTTTGTTTTGTTGTTTGTGTATTTTATTACATGATCTTATTTATCTTTATTATTTTATCTCATTCATCTGTTTTACTGTGTATTATTTTTGTCTGATGTTCTTTATAACTATTACTATTATTAATCAAATTATTATACTAATTAAACATTTAATAAATCCGTTTATCATCCTTCAATTTTCCACTTTTGTTAATATGGTTACAGTTATTTACTTTATTTTTTGCCGTTTTTCCTTAATTTCATTTTCCATGTTTTCACACAAGTTCACAAATGTTTATATTTTATATTTCGGGGTCTCTCGCTCCGCACCCACCCCAGCTCTGTCGCCATAGGAACTCGAGCGTCTGTTTTTGGGCGAAGTGCTTCTTGACGGCGTAGTGAACCCGTTGGATGACCATGTTGCTGAGCCCCGCCCCCTTCAGCAGGTAGGCCATGGAGGGGGAGTGGCCAAACGGATCCACCGCCCAACCGCTGCTGGGCTTCACACCTGGACAGAGAGATAACAGTTACGGTGACGTCACACAGAGCGAAAGGAGTCGAAGCGTCAGTGAGGCGACACTGACCCAGGTGTCTCTGGATCCACTGGTGTCCCTCGATCAGCTGATCCAGCAGAGCGAAGTAGTGAGAGTTCGCCTCGTCGGCCATCACCCAGCCGCCCGTCACCAGCTCCAGCTGCCCCGCCCCCACCAGGCTGACCAATCACAGAGCACGTATTAAAGAACATGAGCAAATACTTTAAATATATATATATGAGAAACAGACAGAAAAGTGAAAGTTGAGACAAAGACTAAAATTGAGTTTAGTTTAAAAGACAAAAAGATTTTTATTTTAAAAGAACATTTCTTTTTTTTACTTAATTGTTCTTTTATTCTTTGTTTCCTTTTCCGTTTGTTTTATTTCTGTTTTTTCATTTTGACATTTGTTTGACTTGTTTTGTATTTGGTTGTAAAGCCAGAAGCTAAAGTTACCGTTTCACCATCTCTCTCTTCTGCTCGTCGATGTCGTTCCACCATTTAGAGAAATAACTGATTTCTGCCCAAATCATCTTCCTCCTGATGAACATAAGCCGTCAATCATCTCTGATAAACATGAACTCTTTCAAATAGAAACAGGAAAAACAAAAACAAACAAAGATCTTCTCCTGGACAGATGAACACACGGTGAGCTGGTCAGATATTTAAATAGTCCTGAGACACACAGACCACCAAATGTAGATTAATCCGCCGCTGAAAATAGTCCCCGACAAAGTCACTATTTCCTGGTATTTGATAAAAACTACATGAATTACTGATGAAACTATACGTTTGTGTTTTTAAAGATTTACGTCTTCAGTAGGAACCAATGAGACACAGACGGGAAGTGAGACGGTGTTGAGAGACGGACCAACATGTTGTTGGTTTGAGTCTGTAATTTAAGTTCAGGTGAAATAAAAAGATGAAGATGAAGATGAGTACCTGCTGTCTTCAGTCAGTTTGATCAACATGTTGTTGAGGATGTGTTTAGTCTGGTCCTGATAATAATTCTCAAACGTCTTCAACCAGCCTGAAACACACACACACACACATTACTGATCTATAGTGAGGTGATGCTGCTACAGCGCCACCTGTTGGCCAAATGACACAGACTCTGTCCCGCTGACTAGGATGTCTTGTGTTAACGTGATCACTAAACGTGGTCCCGTTAACACCGAGTGTTCAGCTGACGTGACATTTCATCTGCCCGACAGCATTTGAGCAAACTTTGAGATCCAAAACGGCAAAAACAGTGCGAAACATCGAAAATGTGTTCCGGCTCGACCGGAGATGTTTTTGCACCAAATCTGGAGACAGAATTTGTAGACGGAGAAAAACAGTTTTGGGACAATTAAGAAAAATTGCGTAAAAACAGAGCATCTCTAAAAGTGGATTTTAGTTTGAGAAAGTCACGGTTTGAAGGGCGAAGCAGATCGGACGTTTGTGGAGATGTGTGAAGGACACGGACGTTCCTCACCGGGGTCGTTGTGAGAGTGAGGAACCACGAACACCTCCAGAGGCTGCTCCGCCCACTCGTCACCGTGGTAACTGATCTCAAAGCCTTGTTTCCAGACGCCGCCGTTTGGATTCTCGAACGTTAACAAGTCGTAAACGTCCAGCAGCTAAAACACAGAAACACACAGAATACTCTGGAGTCTACAAATATACTTTACTTTATATATATTATAATATAATATATAATATATATATATTATTATTTACTTATACCACACTTATATACTTCACACGTTGCTCAACAACTACTGAAATGGTTTTTCTTATTTCTCAACGAATATGAATGAAAAGCTACAATAAAGCTCAGTTATTAATATTAAAAGCAGCTTTAATCCTCCAGTGAACCGACATTAATCTGTGTTTATGTTCTCGATATTTTCAGTATTTTCTCTTATTATGTTTGTTGCATTAAATTCTGTTGATATGAAAATAACTTCAGCACAGTTCCAAAGCACTGTCTGTAGAAACAGCTGCTAGCATATGCTAAGCTAACCTGCACTCCATCGGCTCTGTCCTTCATCTCTTCGGCCAATCGGCAGCCAGGCAGAGAGTCAGCTCGGCTGGGGGCGGAGTCTGAGCTCACATTGACCGCCCCTCCTTTTACCCATGATGCTTGGCGGTGGAACATTTTGTCACGCAGCGTAGCGACCAGGCGGTTGTTGTCGCTAAGGAGACGCTCCAATTTGTCAATCTGCTGCTGGAGGCGGAACAAATCCTACAGACAGAGATGAGGGATTATTTTACATCATTTAACACGTCAGCAACTCATCGTACGTTATAAACATAACCTCACTCATTCCACTGAGGATATTCAGCTGCTGTTAAAAGACAATAAACTAGAATCCTGTCCACTTACGTCCTCCACCTGTCCATCAGGTGTCTCCATGTGTTGAAGCTCCGCCCCCTGCATCATCTCCAGCCTGCGGTACAGTGACATCACGGCCACGCAGAAGACTCCGCCCACCAGCACGGCCAGCAGCCGATTCCTCTTCTTCATCGCTGAGGAACCAATGAGACGACTCCGATGAAACACACGCTACAGGTGCATTATGGGAAATGTAGGATCCAGTGCTGAAAGTCAGGATAGCTCCACTTGAGCTTCAACGAGTTATTTAACAGATTACCTGCTGAAGATTAACAATATCAGCTTTTAAAAGAACCAATCATCGGTCTAAATGTCACATTTTATTTATATATAGTACAAATATAACTTTAGCATATTTACATTGGTGTTATTTTGACACTATTATAATTAAATAAAATGTTTCTTTTTGCCTCAGTTCCAACATGTTAGAGTTCATGTTAGTTTCTAGGAGGCAGAGCAACACTTTGAATCAGTTTTTTGAGAACAAAATGTCAAAACTTCTCTGGTTCCAGCTTCTCAGTTGTATATTCTTCAGATTTTGTCTCCATTTTTTTAATCTTGCGATGACTGAAGGGCTAATATGACAGAAATAATTCATAAACATCAGAGAAAGAAGCGTGTGGATAAAGAGCAGCAGACTTTGAGACGATCACCGCCTACAAAAACCAGCTAAACCTGCAGACCAGGAGACCTGCAGATCAGGACTCTGTGTTGACATGAAGCTTAGAGCTCAAACAGTCAGAGTGAATGAAAATAATGCAAATAAAGAAAGACAGGATTGTCCTGTTTTTTGTTCTTGTGTTGTATGATGACTATGAATGTCTTTGAATCCTTGAAACTGAGAAGATCCTCCTTCAGCTACATGAAGTGTTTAAAAAGCCTCTTGGATCAGATGTAAAATACATCGTTTGTTCTTTCTAGAGTTACGAGGTTCTCACAGAACATCTGATGATCTGATAGAACATGAAGCTCTCATGTAGATTTAACTAAACAGGATATAAAGGAGTTAACATGCAACACACACATTAATGCAGCAGGAACATCCGATATAACAGTGAAACATTTTACTGCTCAATGATACTTTTACTGGTAGTGGAGTATTCTTTAGTGAGTATTAGTACTTTTATTGCTGTAAAGGACCTACATTCTGATGTATCATTAGTTTTTTGTCCTTCTGTTTAACACTTTAACAGATACAACTCTGAATAATAATATAATAACTTACATTATTTAAACAACTCTGAAAAACTGTTATATACTGTTAAATATACATGTTAATGTATCTGCATTAACACTGGTGTAAATACACAAATACAGAATATTTTGTATAATTACTTCTGCTAGTAGAACTTGAAACCGCTCTTGTAGGTCAAACGGCTGTGAAGCTAAAATTAATAAAACTTTTGTATGTTAAATTAAACACCTCACTCACTGAACTTCCGCGTTGGACAAAGTGCAGCAGGTCTCGTGCGCCCTCGTGTCTCGCGCTGCTCTTCACCCGCTCGCTGACTTCAATTTCCGCGAAAAAACATACAACATATAAAATAAACTTTTTATTTTTAAAGTTAAATAAAGTTGTGTCGGTGCCTCCGCAGCGCGAGCTCCCCGCTGTTTGTTTTGCTTCCGGTCTGTCTCAGCTGACTCAGCGCTGCAGACTTCCGGTCAGGACGTGACGTCATCTGACATGCAGTATCACATGTCTTTAGGCCCATTACTGAAGTAGAATACCAATACTACATCTGTGAAAAATACTCTAGTACAAGTAAGAAGTACTATTTGTGTACACATTAAGTACTACTCGTGTACCGTACACAAGTACTACTCATATAGCATACACAAGAAGTACTACTCTTATACTGTATTTAAGAAGTACTACTCGTATAGCGTAGACAACAAGTACTACTCGTGTACCGTACACAAGAAGTACTTCTTATAGTGGTTGAAGAAAATCACAAACAGACGCAGAGACGATGAATCAACAACTTTTTAATAAAACTGTTTCTGTGTGCGTGTGCGCGTGTGCATCACAGCAGGGCACTCTTGGCGTACGACAGCAGACACAGTGATTGGTCAAATGATGCACGTAGCTCCGCCCACCCAACCTCCAGCCGGGAGGAGAGGCGGAGCAACGCTGCCATGGCAACAGAGTCCTGTGACAACGAGCGGAGATGGAGCTGAAAAAATAAAAATAAAATAAATAAAATCACCACAATAAAAGACTGAAGACGTCAACAAACGTTATATAAATAAATAAATGAATGCTGTGTTCTGATTGGCTGACCTTCAGGAAAAGCGCCAGGTAAGCCTGAGCCAGGTCGAAGTCCCGCCCACTGGACAACATGCTGTCAATCATGTGAATGAAGGCAAGCAGGAGCCTGCTGGCTCCGCCCCCCTCTGATGTCAGACAGGTGAGCTCGACGGAGAGCGCCGCCGGCCCACAATCCTTCAGGAGACGCAGCGGGCGATCGACTGCACGCACGCACGCACGCACGCACGCACGCACGCGCACACACACACACACACACACACACAGAGAGAGAGAGAGAGAGAGAGAGAGAGAGAGAGAGAGAGTTGATTTATGAAAACAAGTTTATATTCCCATGATAAATAAATTAAAATAATAATACGTATCAAATATTATCCACAAACATGTTTATAGATATTCAATATTTATCAAGAATTGTTAGCACAAAAAAACATTTTAATACAAAAAAATAAACCGGATGAAATGTCATTTAGGAAAAAATATTGAATACTGAATATGTAGACTTTATAAAAATCTAAAATATGAAACGAATCAATTCAATAAAATGCTAAAGATCAAAAATGTAAAATTAAAAATACAAATTTCCCCGCTGTGGGACAAATATTAGTTTGTTTCTGTACTTTGGCTCTGATGCTGCGTTCACACCAAACGCGGTGCAAATTATTCACACGTGTAGATTACAAACAAAGTCTATACACAGACGCGATGAGACTGGAGCGACGCAAATTTGCGATGGTGCGGCGCGATTGGTGTGAACACGGCATTAGATGCTTGTTTAAAGGAGATGCACTTATGACTTCTGGTGACTAGTAGT